ATGATGCCCCCACCGCCCGCGGCCATGGGACCCCCAGGAGCCCCCCCAGGCCGTGACCTGGCCTCGGTGCCCCCCGAACTGACTGCCAGCAGACAGTCCTTCCGCATGGCCATGGGAAACCCCAGTGAGTTCTTTGTGGATGTGATGTGAGCAGGGCCCCTCCCCCACTTCCATCCCACCTCTAACCTGGCTGGCTGCGTCCCTCTCTCCATCTGTCCAGTCTTTTTTACTTTGGTACCTGAAAGGGAAATAAACGGAACTAAATCCAGGCGCGCTAACTGCTCGCTGAGCGCAGCGAGGGTGGGGTGACCCACATAGCTATTGCAGCCCCTAACCTGCCAGCAGCCCCAGCTTGTCCCTCTGCCCACTAACTGCTGCCCAGGACTTCTCAGGATCCTTCATGTCCCTGGGACCCAACTTGCTGGTGTTGCTCCTGACTCCCTTCACCTGTGCATACACTTCAGGAATTCAACTGTGCCCTTGAGGGCCTGCCCAGCCCCTTATCCCCACCATTTCCCCACCTCAGTTCCCTTTCACCATTCATTCAGCTACGCCATCTCCCTGTTAACCTCATTGCCACAAGCATGTGTCCCATCTCTGAACTGCCCCACACACGCAATACTGACACCAAAAAAATACTTGCTTCATCTGCCCCTCCTAATTGTTCCTTGCCTGCTGCCTGACCGTCTCTTGCCTGCTGCTTGCACCCTAGAGTTGTGGGTCACCTTTAGTAAGTATCCATGCTATCCCTTCCTGCACTGGGCCCTTACCAGGAGCCCAGTGGGGGCCTTCGTTGCCTGATCTCTGCTCTACCCCACCCCTTGCCTGCAATTGTGTGCTGGTTCCTTCAGACCCCTAACCCTACTAACCAACAGGCTCATCTCACCTCTGGGCCTGAAACATGTCTTTTCTTTCTTTTTTCCTCCCCCAATTTTTCCTGGGCGTGGAGCAGCCAAGAATTTCGGGCTGTTTGACTTTCTGTGAGCCCCCAGCGAGGGGAGGCCCAGCCTCCGAGGAAACCAGGAACCCTGCTTCAACAGCCCCTCAGGGCTTCCCGAGGATATGCAGCCCCCACACCCACACTTCAGCATGTTGAGTCACTAGGCTTCTGGGGAGGGCTCCAGCCCTTTGCCCATATATGAGGGACTGTTCGCCTTTCCAGAGAGTGTGCGTGCTCTCTCTCTTTCTCTTTCACACACGTGCACACACACAGGTGCCTATGCAAGTCCACTTAAGCCTCAGGGCTGGTCCCTGCCCAGAGGGCTGGCCTCTCTCTCCCAATTTTCTCCCAGGTTGTGGGGCTGGTCCCCTGACTTACCTCTATCCTTCCTCCCCTTCCTCATAGCCCTTAAGCCTCCCCCACATGTCCCTATCATCACCCTACCTGGATAAAGCCCATATGTGGGGCTCATCAGAGGACTCCCCAGACAACGAGCAGGCTGTTCTCACCTTGCCCCCTGCATTGCACACTTTTTCCTGTTTTCACATCACCATGATACCCCAGAGCAGCGGTTCTCAACCTGTGGGTCACGAACAATGAAAATACATCCTGCATATCAGATATTTACATTACGATTCATAACAGTAGCAAAATTACAGTTATGAAGTAGCAACGAAAATAATTTTATGGTTGGGGGTCACCACAACATGAGGAACTGTATTAAAGGGTCGCGGTATTAGGAAGGTTGAGAACCACTGCCCCAGAGCATGATTGGGCAAGGGGAATTCTGGGAGTGTCAGGTTTTTGTTTTTAACCTGTTTTCTACTTTAAACAAATTATGACTTTAAGCCTCTTCTATAAATTCTTTTGGCTCACTTGGGCTCCCATATTTTCAGAACTGGGGTGTCAAGAGATGAAGTACTAAGTTCCAGGCTTTGGGGCAAACCAGGGAAGGGGCATTTGGCATTCATTTAAATACTTCCTGGGTTTTTTTGTGAGTGAAGGCTACATTGGAAATTTGACTCACTCTTACCTGCCTTCTAGCAGCTCTAGTTTGCTCCCAACCCATACCATGGCTTCCTCTAGCCACCTGGGAGGAGGGCTGCCTCCTATACTTCTCTTTTTTTTCTGACTCTGCCATGTCCAACTTTCTTGAGAATTCTTCCACTATTGCTCATGCCTTCAGTGTTGGTGCTCCCTGTGTTCTGTCTTCAATCCACTTCTCTTTCCTATTTACTCCCCAAATGGTATCATCCATCAGGAGGTCCTTACCTGCCTTTGATATGCTGGGGATTCTCAAATATATCTCTCCATCCCCAATTTCCTCCAATCTTTAGATTTGTGTTTTTATTATTCACTGGACATCTCCATGGACATGTCCATATGGACTCAATGCATTTCCCCCACTTCATGAATTCCAATCCTAGTTACTTTCACAATCTACATAGGCTCATCAGCTAGAAACATCTATGGACTTAAATCCCTTCCCAAATCTTACTATTCAGCAGATCATATCCATTCTACTCCAACAATCTTTCTTGAATTCAGCCCTTCTCCCCTCTGCCTCTGCTCTAGTTCACAGGAGCATGAGATTTGGAGTCAAGTTGTTCTGGGTTTGAATCCCAGCTCTACTACTTTTTGGTTGTGTGATAGGAGAGTTATTTAATCTCTCTGAGCCTCAGTTCCCTCATATGTAAAATGACGATAATAATACCTACCTCACAGGGTTGTTGTGAGGATTTAAATTAGATATTGTACGAAAAGTGCCTAGCACAGTGCCTGGCACACAGTAGAATAGGTGCTCAATAAATGGTAGCTATTATTATTATTATTATTATTATTATTATTATTATTATTTGCTCTAAATTGGTAAGGATTTAGGGTATTAATTGAAGATAAATCTTTGGAAAAGGTAGGAGTGAAGCCTTGTGTGCTGATTCAAGGATCAGAAATGCCTGTATTTGGTCACTTGATGGCTTCAGGTTATGACCACGGTTTTAATGAAGGAGGCCAAATCTTCATCCTGCCACATCTTGGCTTCTGAAAGAGGATGCTAGGGACAGTAAGGCTTGCAACCAGGTTCGCCCTTTCTTATCCTTCCTTCCTCCCATGACGGGCTCAGCCCTGACCAGCGAAGGCATCAGGGTATCTCTCTGTATAGAAAGAGAAGATCTAACATATTTTTTTCAGGTCCTACAAGAGCCAGGCATGCCTTTCATGTTTGAGGGTTGGCTCTGTCTTTTCAGCTTGGATGTGAAGATTAACTCTGTTCAGAGAGGGAATTTCAAATCCCATGTTCAGTTAAATTAAATTCACCAATGGTTTTCTAAACATATCTGCCTCTCACTAGAAGGCACACAGGTTGTGGCCTTGAGGAACTGACAGTAACATAGGTATAGATGAAGTAGAACATGGACATAGTCTTGAAAAGATTTATCTAGTTTCTTCCGAGTATTTGTCTCTTCACTCCCTGTTCCCTTCCTTGGGTCTTGATCCCTGGAGAAAAGCTCACGTCTGGCAAATATATACGATGAAAAAATTAAAATTTGGGAGAGTCAGAGGTGGTGTTAGAAAGCAGTAAATTCAGCACAAACACTTCTACTGCCAAGTCGCGTGTTGTATGGAAAGTGAGGACAGCCAGTCCTCGGACTTTGGAGACACTAAAGGCCTACAACGATCCAAGACTTAACAGATGGACTTCTAATGGTAGCAATCCTCTGAGGCTCTCCGAAACACTGACATAGGAACGGGAGGGACCTCAGAGACTACAATTCCCAGAATGCTCAGTGGGGGAAAGGAAGTGAGCGGAATCGGATAGGCTGGGAAGTGCCTTTCGGCTAAGGCTGGATTAGGCCACTCCCAGCCCTCCCCCAAGGAACTCCTACTCTCCTTTTCGAAGGTTCTCGAAGGCAGTCGGTAGTTGTAGTTTTGCTAAATCTTGAGAGCTTAAAATTGTAAGCGAGAAAGCCCGAGGACCTGACGGGATTTGTAGTCCGTGCGGGAGCCCGGCGCGCAGGCGCA